AGCATCCGGGCCTGTGGGACGATCTGGTCGGCCGTTTGCTCGACCAGTCCGAAGAAAGTGGAGTCAAACTTATTGAAGTCCATAATCTTTCCCATCCGTGGGTTTATATCCAGCAAATCTAATGGGCAATTAACTAGCTCAGTTACTTAAACACCAGTAGTTAGTTCTGTTGAAATTTTTTCACCGTGATCATTTTTCATTATAAATATATTATATTGGCGTGAAATGTGGGATTAGGGTTAGTAATGATCACTGGATCGACAAATATGTTGCTAAAAATCATGAAAGGCATACCCATTGGCCATCGACTGTCATCGGCGGTAACCATATCGACGCCGTCGTACAGATTCCGTGCGAACTCATCGGTGGTGTCCGACAGCGGAAACCGACCGGACATACCGCTGATCACCACATCCTTTGCCGACATATTTATTCAATTTTGTTATTAAACACTTGATGAGATTTTTGTTAAAAACTTTTGACTCATTTGATAAAACTTTTCATTAAATTGTAAAAATGATTCATGTTAGCTGGCTTATATACAGTAGGCATAGTGCCCAGTTCAACAAATTATACAAAAACTAAAACATTTATTATGCTTTTATATATGTTTTATATAATTCACCAGTACGTACAGTTGTACTTAATAAACTGTACGTCCCTATTAAAATATACAATGTCCGTTCATGTGTACCTGATTTCATGTGCATGTACAGTCAAAAATAATTATAATTGTAATTTAAATTATTATAATTATAAATAGTTATAATTAATCGTAATAAATGTGAATCATAATACAATTTTGTGTCCACAAATAAACATTATCGACTGTACATACACATGAAATCAGGTACACATGAACGGGCATTGTATATTTTAATAGGTTAATAGCCAGTATGATGCTGACAAATATTAATAGGTTTGTTTTTCAAAGTAAGAATTTTATCTATTAAAATATCATTGATACAATAATAATAATAATTCATTAATACGTGAGTTAATTTTAGAAATGTACCTTTTTATCATTCAATATTGAACCCCGTGATTTATTGAATTTTAAAAATTAGAGTGCATTGGTCCATTAACTCAGTAATTGATAAATATATATATAATTTTACCTATTAATTCGTGCATGTTCACACACCGATTTTAACAAATGTTTTTACTTTTAACTAAGTTATTTAATTTTGTGTAAATATTTGTGACATTGGTCATAGAAAACTTAAGTTGTATTTTATTTTAAAAAAATATAACAAAGTTTTCTACAATTTGTCACATAAATATATACAATAATATAAATATATAATAGATTTTATATTGATAAAAATATTGCGCTGGTCTTAGCCTTAACTCCGAGAAAATATAATTAAAAATAGGAAATATGATGAATTTAATTACAATTTTACTAATCTCATTAAACTAGTCCTAATAATTATAATCATCTAATAGCTGAAAATGTAATTTAAAATCTATTTACGTATGACATTCTCACTTTGATTTTGTGGTTTAATTATAAAGTATATTAACTCTTATACGTGTTTGCAATTATTTTTACTATTTACTGCAAGCTTTAACGTAGATTTTCACCTTAGGCATTTAGTAAAGCCATAACTTATAATTACGATATTAATAGGTGCCCTATGAAGGACATATTTGCGCGTAGGTATCTGTCAGTGTGTGATTTGTAGTAGACTTCGTCTAATGTGTGGCACCGGTAGTCTAAAAGTAGCTCTTGTGGTAATCCGTAGGCTACAGATTGCCGTTGGATATGAAACATACGGT